ACAGCCTAGAAACTGAAGCCGGGCTGGGGTAAAAGGAGCCCTCCACCTGCCCTGGCTGGGGTGGGGCGGGGCAGGCCCCAGCCCGTGCCAGGTGGAGGGTTTAGGGGTCCCCCAGTTGCCTGGTTGGCTCCTATCAGAGCCCTGGGCTGGCTCCTGCCCTGGCTAGGAGGCAGGGCCTCTGGAGGAAGAGGAGGAGCAAGACTCCTAAGGCGCAATTCAGCTCCACACTTGGAAGTCGGTGCTGCCTTCATTTTGCAGTGCAGGAACCAACCTCCTTACCAGCTTCCCAGTCCCTGCTACTGCCACGGCTTCTGTGACACCCCCTCCCCCGGTTCCCCCCCCTCCAGCGGACGGACCGGGCCCTGCCTATGGGCAAGACAGGGTCTGCTGCTCCCCCGCCCCCAGGCCAATCGAGACCTGGGGGCAGGGGACTGTGCAAAGTCTCCCACCATCAAGGGTGTAGGTCATATGCTCCAGACCCCTAATCCCTGCTCTCCCACCCCAGACTAATCAGGGTCTGTAGGTGGGGAATCAGGGAAGTGTCCTGGCCCAGCCCCTTGTGCCTGAGGCCCCGCCCCTTCCAAAATTCCTGAAGTGGCCCCCTTGCAAAAATTATTGCCCACCCCTGGCCTATGCAACCCTGCACAAGTCCTTTCCTTGTGCCTTAGTTTCCCTGCCTGTAAAAAGGGCAAGTCTGTGCCCCTCTCCTGGCCAGGGTAGTGCTGGCCGGGCAGAGCCCATCCACGAGGTGCCTTGCAGGTGACCAAGGTGGAAGAGCCCTCCAAGTACGGGGTGGTGGTGTGCGAGGCGGAGACAGGACGCATCCACCGCTTCGTGGAAAAGCCCCAGGTGTTCGTCTCCAATAAGATCAACGCTGGCATGTACATCTTCAACCCCAGCCTCCTGCGCAGAATCCAGGTGGGAGCTGGGGCTGATGCCTGGGTGGCCTGGCCCTCCCCCGGTGGGGGTCTGTGCAGCAGGGCGGGCGGTGGGGGATGGAACCAGGGCAGGGCACCCGGGTTAACGGAGTCCGCAGGGTGCCCTGACGGGGCCTGTGTCTGTCTGCAGCTGCGGCCCACTTCCATAGAGAAGGAGATCTTCCCGGTGATGGCTCGGGATGGGGAGCTCTATGCCATGGAGCTGCAGGGTAAGGGGCCCCGCTCCGGCCCTCCCCACCCCCCGCCCGGCTGTGGGACTGGAGCTGTCCCCTGTGGGAAACTCCTCAGCCCGTGCAGGGATGGGCCTGGCTCTGCCCCCTGCGTGCTGTGAGGCTGCTCTGTCCCTGCAGGCTTCTGGATGGACATCGGGCAGCCCAAGGACTTTCTGACGGGCATGTGCATGTTCCTGCAGTCGCTGCGGGCCCAGCACCCGGAGAGGCTGCACACAGGCCCCGGCTTCGTGGGGAACGTGCTGGTGGTGAGTGTGGGGTGGGAGCCCCCTTCCCTGGCTCTGCCCCCTGCGTGCTGTGAGGCTGCTCTGTCCCTGCAGGCTTCTGGATGGACATCGGGCAGCCCAAGGACTTTCTGACGGGCATGTGCATGTTCCTGCAGTCGCTGCGGGCCCAGCACCCGGAGAGGCTGCACACAGGCCCCGGCTTCGTGGGGAACGTGCTGGTGGTGAGTGTGGGGTGGGAGCCCCCTTCCCTGGGACGCTCGCGCGCAGTAAAGGCAGCCTGAGGGCTGAGCACAGCGGCTGGCC